CTTCTGTACAAGCAGATGGCCTGGCAGCCTGGCAGGCAGGGGAGCTATCAAAGCATGGGGGAGGCGAGCAGGCGGCCCCAGGGCCCTTCACCCCACCCATTCCCAGGCATATCAAAGCAGTTCCAGAGCTTGGCCCTTTGAGCCTCCTGAGAGAGGCCTCTATCCCCACCCCCCTCCGTCCAAGAGAACTACCGGTTCTAAGACCTGGTACAGTGGCACAGACGACCCACTCACAGCGGGAGCCCTGGCTGGGCTGCTGAGGACACTGCCTCATGCTGTGACTGTGCTCCATGCGTGTGCCTGCACACCCACACCCTTTTCCTCCCCAGCACAGATCTCAGAGAGTGGGGGGAGGGACAGGCCCCGGTGCTGGGCTCCCTGTTGGAAAGGGACAGTTGAGCTGCTAGTGTGAGGTGCCGCAGAGCCACGTCGGCCTGCCAGGTGATAGGCAACTGGCCTTTGGGCTTGGGTCCCGCTCACCCACTGATGGCGCCTCCCTGGATCGCCCTTACTTGGGTCTGCGGCAGCTGAAGGAGCGAGAGGTCCCAGCACTAAACTCTCCCTCGCTCTGTTTTTTGAGGAACCTGAATGAACCTGAGAGCAAAGACCGAGTGGAGACGCTCAGGTGAGAGGGCTGGAGCCAACACCGGCCCTGCCCAGGCCACCGGGCTTGCCACGCACCTCCTGCTCCTCTCCTCCTTCTGCCACCTGGCTCTTCCTCGGGTGTTTCTGCCCTGTCGCCACCCTCTTGGGGGTCTCCCTTCCTTCAGAGTCCCCACACCCCAGCTCAGTAGGTGTGGGCCCTTGTCCTCAGATCTCGGGTACTGTGGAAGCAGGAGCCCTGGGCGCACCTGTTTGTGCCTGGGCAGCAGCTTCTGTCCAGCCTGTGAACTGCTCAGGGCTGTTGAGCACGTGCTCCCCTTTCTTCCCTGATACCCCGACCCTCTTCAGAGGAAAGCATGGAACTGTCAGCCCCACCCCCACCAGGGGCTGGCTTCTCAGCTTATCTGCCCTGAGAGACTGAGGTGCAGGACTGCTCACCTCACCCTCTGCTCCCCGGACCGGACCGGACCGGACCTAACGTTCCCTCTGCCAGCCTGGTTGCCTCCTGGGCACCCTCCCGCTCTCCTCTCTGGTCTCAGGGTCCATGTGCCAGGGTGGCTTCCCGTGGGTGGGGTGCCTCGGGCCTCGCTGACACCACCTCTGCCCTTCCGCAGACCTCACGTGGTGGGCGGTGGAGGCAACGAGAAAGAAAAGGAAGAGTTCCGGGAGGCCAAGCCACGCTCGCTCCGCTTCACGTGGAGCATGAAGACCACGAGCTCCATGGAGCCCAACGAGATGATGCGGGAGATCCGCAAGGTGCTGGACGCCAACAGCTGCCAGAGCGAGCTGCACGAGAAGTACATGCTGCTCTGCATGCATGGCACGCCCGGCCACGAGAACTTCGTGCAGTGGGAGATGGAGGTGTGCAAACTGCCGCGGCTGTCTCTCAACGGGGTTCGGTTTAAGCGGATATCGGGCACCTCCATGGCCTTCAAAAACATTGCCTCCAAAATAGCCAACGAGCTGAAGCTTTAACAGGCTGCCAGGAGTGGGGGGCGACGGAGGCGGGCCCGCTGGACTTAGCTGCTGGGGCCGCCGCTCCAACCCGCCCGGGCGAGACTGCAGAGATGGATTGGCGCGTCTCCCCTGCTGGCATTTCTCCCTGCCCGCCCTGCTCAGTTTTTCTTCCATGTTTGTGGGGATGGGAGATGGTTCTTTCCCCCCACATCTACCCCTGCCCAGATACCTCCCCTTGCCCCTCTCTCCCACAGGAGGCAAAGGAAGGGGAGAGAGGGTGGGGGGGCAGGGCTCCCCCTCGGTACTGCGGTTGCACAGAGTATTTCGCCTAAACCAAGAAATTTTTTATTACCAAAAAGAAAAAAGAAAAAAAAAATCCCAGCGGCCACCTTTCCTCCCTGCCCCATTGGGACAGTCGAGACTGGATCTGTGGGGTTTCCCGGGAGGGTGGCTCAGGGCTGGAACACTCTCAGGCAAGAGTGGTGGAGTTCCCTGTCAGGCCCTCCGCCAGGCCCACTTTGGGCTTCTCCCCTCTTCTCCCCTCCCTCCCCTCCAAGCAAACCACCAGAGGTGGCCTTCCCCTGACCTCAGGCCCCTGGGCTGGAGCCTGGGGGGCGGGGGCGGGGGCGGGGGTGCTGCGCAGCCCTGAGGTGGGCGGATGGGCTGGCGGCGAGGCATGGGGCCCGGCCGCCCTCCACACTGCCCTCTGCCCCCCTTCCCCAGAGCTGGGCATTTCCTTCCACAAGCTGCTGTGGGGACTTTTGTTCCCCTCCTCAAAAGTCTGTGCCATCTTCTCCCACCCCCTCCCAGGTAGAAGGCGGGGCTGACCCCAGGGCTGGGAGAGGGGAGGGGACTGCAGGGCAGATGGGCTCCTGGGCCCCCAGGGGGCCCCCTGGGCTGCTAGTCTCTGAACAGGGACGGGACGCTGGGCAGTCTCCATTATGGGAGAGCCTTTGTCTGAAAGCACAGCCGCCCTCGCCGGTCCTCTTCCCTCCTCACTGCTCCCCATCATTGGCATTAATCTGGGCACCAGCTAGTTCCATAGCAGTTGACTTCCCTCACCACTCATCTCTCGGCCTTGCCTTTTCTTCCTGACACTGTCGCCCCTCCTCTCAGGAGACACTGCCCAGGGCCTCCATGGCCCCCTGGCAGGAGGCTGGATAGGGCAGCAGGGCCGGGGCCTCTGCCCTCCACCTCCAAAGGGGTGGGGGCACAGATAGGCCAAGTGACTCCCAGCTTGCCAACCTCCGTGGCCAGTGTGGGAGTGGCTGGTTATGGGCGCTTGGCTGGTGGCGGCCGCTGCATCCCTTAATTTATTTCTCTGCTGTGTCTGTTCTTGAGAAATTGGGGAAGGGGTCCTGCACAGAGGCTGGCCCTGCCCTTACCTGAGTTGTACATTTTTTTGTGATGGGTTTTATTTTTTATTTTATTATTTTATTTTTTTTTTTGATTTATGATGACCCCACCCCTATTCATCACCCCCACACCCAGGCCAGGCTCCGTGGCAAGTCGAGCCCTTGGGTCCCAGGAAGGGGTCTTGCCAACCTCAGCCCCCTGCCCCAAGCCCGACTTCGGGCTCCGCTCTGACCAAGGGCTCCTCCTGCCCTCCCTCCCCCCTTCCCGCCCTATGGAACAGCCCGGGTGCTCGAGGGGCTGGGAGGGCATGGCTTGGCTCCCAAAGGGGGTGGTGGCCAGGGTGGGGGGGGCTCCCAGGCAAGGTGGCCCCTCCCCACCCAGCCCCCCCCCTGCACTTAGTTTCTCCTCTGGATCAAACACGTAATAAAGAGAATGTTTGGAATCTGAGTTGCCTCCTCCTTTCTTCTCCCAACCAGGCAGGTGCCCAGGCCCCAGGGGCAAGATGTCGCCCCGCCACCTTCCTTGCAGGAAAGAATGGATTCGTTTGGGGCCAGGGGAAAAGCCAGTGCTGGGCAGGCGGGCACACCCTCCCACCCTCATGGCACAGTCAGGAAGCAAAGCCAAAGGTCTGACTCAGTGAGCTTGGAAGGTTTTATTTTTTAAAAACATTGAAAAATAAACCCATGTCTGCATATGTTCCCCTGACCCTCGACCCTCTAAGCTTTTGGGCGGTGGGCACTGGGCACCTTCACAGCTCCTCAGCACTTCCCACACAGCCAGAAGACAGCTGCCCCTCTCGTCTCTGCTGCTGTCAAGCCCCAGGGCACTTTTCTGCCCACCTCCCCCTCCAGCCCCCTCCCCACTTCACCCCAGACTTATTGCTAAAAGAAGGGAAAGAGGAGGAACAGCCAACAGGCCAAAGTGTCCTCCCCTACCCCCCAAGCTACAGTCACTACCCCCTCTACACAAAAGGCAGGGCCCAAAGGCCAAACCCCAGCAGACTAGGAGGCAGCCATTCCAGTCCAATCCAGGAAGAGAAGGTCCTCTCAGGCCAGCTCAGAAGGCCCCTGAGTCCCAGCGCCTGGCTGGGGTGGGGGCAGAGATGGGCTCAGCTGCCAGAAACACCGGCAGAACCCACAGGTCCAGGCTGTGCCCGTCAGCAGCTCTCGTCTTCGAAAGACCCGGCAAAAGCTCTAGTCCCTTCTGTCCTCAGTGAATCCAGACCTGCCCGAAGATATCCAGCGAAGGCTTTCTGGAGCCTCTGGTTGGAGGGCCTCAGGGCTCAGAGTGAGGGCGCTGGAGGCTCCAGAGGGGCTCCAATCAGGGTGGGTGGGGGCTGAGGGCCGGGGCGAGCACTGTGGCGGGAGGCAGCAAGGGCAGGGCGGATGAGAGGTGGTGGGGGCTGGTTGGGGGACAGCCGGGGCTGGAGGAAGCGGCCCTGCTGTAGTGGGGGTGGCTGGCGAAGCAGGGTGGGAGCCGTGGGCAAAGGAGGCCTCAGCAGTGGAGGTGGCTGCGACAGCGAGGTGGGAGGCGGAGGGGGGGGTGGCGCAGGGGGCACCGATCTGGGCACAGATGTTGAGACGGATGTAATCTGGACCTGAGAGGAGAGAGAAGCGTGAGAAACCAGGCTCCACCACACCCTTAGCGCAGCCTAAGGATGGAGGCGGTTCCTCTGCTCTCTTCTCTGAAGGGTTTCTCTCATCCCTTCTCACCTCATCATCTTCCTCTAGGGCTGGGGCTGGCAAGGGAGCCCCTCTCCTAGCCTCCTCCATGGGGACCGGGGCTCCAGGGGCCCCATCCTGCTCCGCCTCCCATTCCTGCAGCACCTCCTCCAGATTGAAGCGGCGCCGGTAGCTCACAAAGAAGGTCTTCACCTGGGTCAGAGTCTTGTTCCCAATCACCTCTGCAATAGCCCCAAAGTCTTTGCCATACCTACGGATGGCTGCAAGGGTCAAAAGGGCAGCAGAGTGTGAATACCCCTTAGAACTAGTTACTTCCTGATCCTTTCCCTCTGCCCCCAGCTCTTTGGAGGGTGGGGAGGTTCCTGGGGCTCTCTGTTCTCCTCATAGTCTAACCCACCTTGTACAGCCAGAAGCTGCTCATCTGTGGTCCAGCGGGAGTTGAACTTAATGTTGGCCTGGAGAGCAAAGAATAGATCCTTTACACTCGAAAATACGGAAATGGAGGCCCTGCTCTCCAAGCAGAACTCCCCTTTCTGCTCTGCCTCCAGAGAGAACCCCTTCCTGAACCCCAACTCAAGAGAAGCCTTACCTCAGGAGGGCGTAGGGGATCAATACCACCCTCCAGGGCTTGGCGGAGGCTGCTATTGGTCTGCTTCATGCTTTGCACCTGGGGAGGTCAGGAAATGAAGGAACATCAAACTCTCTGCCAGGGAGGCTGTCAATACCAGCCTCGCCAGGGTCCTATTTCGGCAGACACCAAGTGCCACTTCCCAAGAAAGCTCTTTGCCACCCACCATCTCATCATCTAGCTCATTTAGCCCTCACAGCCACTCAGTAGGGGAGACACTGTAGTTCACCCCTTGTCACAGACCAGTTGTTTTTTTTAAGGCCCAGAAAAAAATGCCAAGTTACCCAGAAGCCCAGGGGATGGGGCAGGGGCAGAGGCAGGCTTGGCATCTGCACCGTCTCTTTTACACCTCAGCTGCCCCCAGTCCTAGCTCCCAGCTGCTGACTGCCCCCTCTGCATGGCCCCTTCTTTTCTCAGGCCCTCACCTGGCGCTTGAGGGAGATAAGCTGGGAGTCAAGGCCTCGAAGAGTGAGGTTGGCAAGGTCCGGGCTTCCTGACACGGCAGTGAGGCCCTCCGGGCTCAGGTACATGCCCTTGGGTGGGCGCCGCCGGGTTCGAAGTGGGTGGTGGCGGTACTGAGACCCCTGGGCCTCCTTCTTCCCAGGGCCTGGGCGGGCATTCAGGGGCCGAGAGGGCAGAGGCTGCCAGAGAAAAAAGAAGGGGAAGAGTGGTGCAAAAGCCCAAAGAGAGGGCGGGCGGGCCAGAGCAGCTCTAGCACCTCACCTCTCTCTTGGGGTCTCCAGCATCCGGCTCCCCCTCACTTACTGCTCCTCGTCCCTCTTCAAGCTCATCACTGATGATACAGGGGACAGGGAGGGAGTGAGGAAGGGGCCAGTTCTCCCCCTCCACCTGGCCCTGCGCAAGCCTGGCTTGCCCCCACCCACTTATCTCCCCCCTGGACCCCCACCTCTCTTCTTTGTCCTTTCGGCCCCCCAGCCGCCGAGCCTGTCTGTCCATCACGCTGGTCCGACTGCGAGTCTTCTTCCAAGAGTAGTAATACTTCACCAGGCTGGGGATCAGCTTGTCAGGCAGCTGGAGGGGCAACGCCAGAGGCTGGGGCCACCCAAGAGTCTGGGCCCCGGGCAGGCTCGTCAGAAAGGAGGGGCTGAGGAGCGATGGCTGGGGTGGAGGGCTTTACCATCTGCTGGATCCGCTGGAAGCACTTGCCATGGAAGCCAAAGGCCTGTTCAAACAGCACCTTGTCTTCGACTGTCCACTCGTCGGGGAATGGGGTGAAGTTGGCCAGGTCAGCCAGTGACTTCTCCACGTCGTGCTTATGCCACAGGAGCATGCCCAGTGCCTGGCCCAGGAGAAGGGACAACTCAGGCTCAGCCACCCCCGGCTCTGTCCATTCTGAACCCCAAACCCCTATGGGGCCAAGGCTCACCTGCTCAATGTTGTAGCCATGTTTCTCCTTGGCCATTGCAATGTACTTGTCAACTGCAAGGGTGGGAGGAGCCAGGTCTTGGAGGAGGGGTTACAATTCCTAACCCAGGCCTGCCTGAACAGAGGTATGCTCCCCGCAGCCTGAGCCCCAGGGTAGGGATTAAACCCACACCTTAGCCTCCAGCCCACTTCTGAGGAGAGTTGGCCGTTGGATGGCATGAACCCAAGCCCCCAGCTCCCAAGGGTGTGCATGAACCTGGGGTCCCACCCACTCACGCTTGGCATCCGACACACAGTGGTTGGGCGACCACACCAGCATCCCCTTCAGCTCCTTGTTGCTGTAACGAGCAGGGCTCTCTGAAAGGCAGAGGAGCAAAGGAGGGGAGACACTAGGATCAGCCTGGTGGCGCTGGCCTGGACCCATGGCCAGAGGGCGGCAGGGGATGGGGGGGCCTGCGAGGTGAGGCCCAGAGGGAGGGAGGGGCAGAGACCCAGACAGGAAGGCAGAGCAGGAAAACTAACCATGCCATGGGGCCACCCACCCCCGCCCGCCTGTCCTTCCAGTGGGCACCAGCCAAGGGCTCCCCCAGGTGGGGCTCAGGGCCAAGCCATGGGCCCTGCACTCCCCTCCCTTCACAGCCTGTCCTGCCACTCACCAGGCTTGCACTCCGGAATTACGGCCTGGTAATTGGTTCCAACACGGATCATGCTGTCTGTGGAGCCAGGGGGAGGCAGTCAGGACTCCGGGGAAGGAGGGAGGGAGAGGGGATGGGAGGATGTGGCGGGGGAGGTGGCTGGTCTGGAGTTCTCCTTCCTGAGCACCCAGGGCCCCCACCTTCCAGGAGGCTCACTTTTCCCTCATCTTCTCCCTCAGTTACCCTCAGCCATAGAAGGAACTGGAAGAGACCCTGCCTAGTCACAGACTATGGGGGCCTGTGGGTGGGGGGGCAGAGGACAAGGGGCCAGTTTTAGAGCCCAGGGCAGGCAGAGCCCTTTGTTCTGACTGGGGGGTGGGGGGAGGTTGGAGGGCTGCCCCTAGACCTGGACTGCAGCCCTGCAGGGAATCCAAGGCTCCTCCCCACATATGAGCCTCATAGCTCGGCGTGGAGGTGTCTTTCCAGCCCCTGCCCCAGCCAGACCTCATTCCCCTGCAAGGTGGCAAGGTATGAGGGGTCCAATCTGTGGAGGGCAGGGACACCCGAGTCCCTCAGGGACTGAGTAGGGCGCGGCGGGCAGGACCGCCTTCGCCGCAGCTAGGGGCTCAGTCTCCAGATTCCCCGTGCCGGCAGCCCCAGGCTCGGGGAGAAGCAAGGCACAGGCTCCAATCCAGGGCGGACAGGAACCATTGGTATAATACGCCGGTGGTCGGCAACTCCTCCCCACCCCGCCCCGCCCGCCCATCCCGCGCCCCCTGGCCCGTGCGCCTTTAACCCTAGGCCGCGGGGCTCACCGTGCGAGTGCTCCTCCTCGCTGCTGTCATCCTCCGAGTGGGGCTGTCCACCATTGGGCGCCGTCTTGGCCCGACTTCGGGACAGGATCCCGGAGCCCGCGCTCGGCTTTTCCATCACCGAGGGCATTACCCCGCCCGGCTGCCCCGGGGGGCGCAGGAGCCTTCGGAGAGCAACCGGGGGTTGCCGCGCTCGCCTCAAGTGCCGTGCCTGGCCCGGCCTGGAGAGGTCGCCACTGAGGCTACGAGAGGCAGGAGGTCAGCGAGGCTAGGGTCCGTAGGGGCGGGAGCCCAGAGGGCAGCCCCGCGCTCTCCGCGACCCCCACGGGCGAGGGCTCGGAAAAGTTTGTGTAGAAGTGGGGTACGCGGAGGATGAGCGCAAGGTCCGGTGTGGCTGGGGTGGGGGTGGCCGCGCTCGCTCTGTGCGCTCTCCAGGATTGGGGCTCCCCTGGAGAAGTCGAGGCGCCCTGCCCTCGGGGCGCGCGGGAGCCCCACCGCCCTCCTGCCCACGCAGTTCAGTGGGCGGGCGCTGCAGCGCAATTGGCGCCCCCCCCCCAGGTTCCGTGCCTTTCCGCTACACCGGGATGCCCCAATCCCCGGGCGGAGACCCCTGTTCCGACCAGACCCCTGCCTGCGACGGCAGCCGGCGGGGCCCGGGCGGTAGCGGTGGTGGCAGGACGGCGCGCACGGCGCGCGGTGCTGGGGCAGAGTTGCCGCGAGGCGGGCGGAGCGTAGCCGCGGGCGCCGCCTCGCACCCTCCCCGGTGCGCTCGCTCTCCCTCTCCCCGGCGCGCTCGGGCTGCTGCTTGCTCGCCCGCCCGCTCTCCGCCGCCGCTCGCTCCTCGCGCACACAATGAAGCTGCTGGCAGGGAAGTAGTACCGGCTGCGGCCTCAGCACCCCTCCCCCAGCCGATGCCTCCGCCAGCTGAACATCTGGCCCTGGGGTGGAAGGGAGGGCCCGGGGGGCGGGGCCTGGGGGCCGGGGCTAGACCTCCAGGGGGTGGGGTCAGGACCCGGGTGGAGAGCGCTTCCCTCTACGGGCCCCCGGGGCTCCCAGACTTGCCCCTGGGGGGAGACCCCGTTGCCCCCCCTCAGTAGCTGGGGGTCAGCCCCACCCACGCGCACACCGGCCCCACACACCAGTGGGCTCGGGTTACTGCCGCCTGCCCTGGGGGCCCTGAGGCCGTCTGCCCGCCCGCCCGGGTGGAGCCCAGCTTTTCCTTCCATTTCCCTTCCTGCCAAGGAACTCCCCGCCCCCCCTTCCGCAGGGGGACCCCCCCCTTCAGGCGCCCTTGGGGGCCAGAGCGGATGGGAGGCCGGACAAGCGAGGAATGAATTTCTCCAAGAGCTACCGGGCCAAAGCCTAGCTTCTAGTGCATCTGCGGGTCCCCAGGGGTCACCCCGTTCCCTTTAACTGCTGCAGTGTGCACCTCAAAACAGTGACATAAGGGGCTGAGGGGAGGGATGGGGAATGGGAAGTGTAGGGGAAGGAAGGTCTGGACTGCATGGAGAGGGAGGAGCTGGGTCTCCTCCCCACTGGGTTCACTATCACCCCAGCTGGGAGCAGGATCCCCCTCCCCCAGGACAAGCACGGGCAGAGTGACAGACCGGGAAGCGGGTAGAGCGGCACAGACGGAGATGGGGGAGGGGGTGGGTAGAGACTTTCCAAGCCAGACCCAGCCACCCTGCCAGGCACACAAAGAACCAGCACACACACCGGCGGTGGCTCTGAGCCGGCGAGCTGCGCGGGTGCCCGTCCCTGCGGCCCCGGGCACGTGCGGCAGCTCACATAAGCCCTAGCCCCCGCCGCAGCCCCTCCCACCTGGAGCCCCAGACTCCTAGACACACCTCCACCCGGGCACACCCGCTGTGCCCAGACTGAGTCGAGCCTGCACTCGCACGGTCCTCTCCCTTCCCTTCCTCGGCCACTCTGTAATCAGATTCCTAAATTTAGAAGCAACCCAGGGCCCAGCCAGGGATCCCCGCCCCCACCCGCTGCCTGCGGCGGGCCGGCCGGGGTCCTGTGGTCCATGCAAGTCCCGGCTAAGGCCTCCTGGTCCTGGGAGCTCCTGGGGGCTGCCGGGCAAAATCAGCCACGACCCCACCCAGCTGCGGCGCTGTCGGGCCACATGGGGCCACCCTGGGGCCACCCAGCCCGCAGCCACGTTGCCCGCCACACCTCAAGCCAGAGCTACAGGGCCTTTTTCCTCCTCTTAAATCATGGATTGGGCACCAAGCCCCAGGGTGGGGAGGTCTGGACAAAGGAGGAGAATGAATGGGCCAACGTTAGATCCGAGCTAAGGGGGTCTGTTACAAGATGAAAAGAGCCTCCCCACCCTGACCCCTCCTGAATGGCAGGGAGCCACCGTGCCCACAGCACCTCCGATCTTTAGGAAAGCTGTCATCTCTGTCCCCTCCTGCCTGGAAGGCAGCCATCACTGCACACAACCCTCTCCTATGATGGAGATTTCCATCTCGCCCATACCGACCACCCATTAGGCAGAGCCTCAGTTGGGTGCCCCACAGTCCCACCCTTGCCTCCTTTCCATACTCATAGGGTCCAGGGCCCAACCCATCATTCCCAGGCCACAGCATCATACCTTTTCTGGCCGCCCTCCTCCATCCAGTGCTGCCCCAGGTACCCCCAGCCCCTGGGGTCCCTCCTCCCCCAGCATACCCCCCACCACCACCACCATCACCCTAAGAACCTAATTCTGCTCTCCCATCTCCCTAGAGTCTGGAGCTCAGGGCCAGAAGAAGATTCTGCTCTGAGGGGTGGGGGAGGAGGGGGAGGTTTATTCCTTGAAGTTGGAGGGGAGAGTCCCTAGGCCCTGGTGTAATGAAGCTTCTGCCTCGGAGGTGGGACACAACACGGGCAGGGTATCCTAAGAGTTTGGGGGTGACTGTAGGGGCCACAGTATCCAGAGAGAAGGGGTATGCCTAGTGAGAAAATCTCCCCAAGGGGCAATGGAGCCGGGTTAGCAGGGAGAGGGGCAAGGCCCCACCCTCCCACCTGCTGCAGCTGCCCCTCCCCAGCTGGCCCCCTCTTTTGTGCAAAGCCACACAAAGGACAAGGGGCCCGGCCGGCCTGGCCATCTGCTCCCGGCAGCCTGAAGGCTCTTAAAGAGACAGCACCCCCTCCCTGCAGCCCTGGGGCTGTGGGGTGGGGTGGAGTGGGTTGCTCTGTGGGACCTGGTCTCAGCGATACTCCAAGTCCCACCCACTTTTCCCTGGTTCCCCTAGCCCCCAGATCAGGAATCATCCTCCCTCCCCCCCAGGCCAGGGGTGCAGAGGTGCCACGTGGCCAGAAACAAGGGGGTGTGGGAGGGGAGAGGAGAGGCAGCCTGGAACCAGTCCCTCCTCCCCTTCAGCCTTAGGCAGCAGAGGGGCCAGCAGAGCTCTGGAGCTCAGCCCTAGAACTGGGGTCCCTTACCTCCCTGAGGCCACCTCTGAGCGTGGTGAGAGCTGGAAGGCCCTCCCCGCCATTTTCACTGATGAGCTCCCCCTCACCCTTCCTCAGGGAGGTTGACAGCTCCTTCTCTCTGAGGGCTGTGGGCCAGGATGCAAGGCTGCCTTGTAGCAATCCTGTGATTGGGGACACATTTATTTCCTGTGTTTTCCAGTTGAGGAAACTGAGGCTCTGCTCAGCCCCCACACAGGCCTCCACAGAGACCCTTGGCCATGTCTGAAGGCTGCCTCTCTCCTTAGTCCAGATAAGGCTCCTTCCCCTGAGATCTCCTGGGACCAGAGGCCCACTAAGGGCCCTTATCACACTGCTAGGGACACAAGTTTACACTATTTGTGTGATTATTTCTTGTCTGTCTCTTTGCTGGGTGTGGGCAGTGATTGTATCCACCATGTTCACTTTGTGTTCTCAGTGCCTGGCATACAGTAGGTACTCACTATTTACTGAAAGAATAAATGCCAGGAGCCCAAAAAGCCTTTCTGTTCCTTGAGCTCCTCGGTCCTCCCTCTGTTGGGCAACTTGCCTCCTCCCTCCTCAAGGTGAGGCAAAGGGACAAAGGTTGAACAGGGATGCTGGGAGAGAAAAGGAGGGTGACCTTGAGGGAGCCACCGGCCCTCCCCTCACAGCTCCCTCCTCCCAAAGGCAAGGGCAGCTCCAACCAATCCTGAACCCGCATCCATGCCAGACAGACTGGGACTGTCCCGAGCTCTGGCCGCTGTGGTGTGGTGCCTGGGACCCTGGCCAGGCCCTCAGTGGCCACAGCCAAGGGGCTAAGCTTGGGGAGGGAGGCAGGCAGGCAGCCCTGGGGTGGGGGAGGGAGGGTGGCAGGATCTAAGCAGAAACCTGGCTGAGCAGTTGGGGGGAGGTGCTCTCCTGGACTGAAGGCCTGGCGAGAGGTGAAGAAGGGATGGAGATGGTCTTACAGCTTGGAAGGAGCTTGGGGAGCTCCCTCCAGGGCCCCCGCAATTCCCTCAATCCTGCCTAGACAAGAATGCAATTCCTCCGTCCCTCCCCGCAGAGCCCACTGGCTGGCTGTGTGACCCAGAGCGCTGCCCTCCCCCACTCTGGGCCCACTTAGTAATCCCCTGGACTGGCCCACACTCCCACTCAGGGTTGTAAAGAGGCCGCGAGAAGGTGACAGAGGTGACAATCTGGTGCTTGGCACTGCCTCAGCACTGTGGCCCTGCGAGGGCTAAAGGAGGTGAGGCTAGCACATGTGAGTGTTGCTGGGGGAGGGCAGAGCAGAACCAGGCAGGAGGTCAGCAAGGAGACCCCAGGCTTCCTGACACCCACACCGCGGAAATCTGACTCCCTGAGCAAAGCAGGAACTGGGGAGGAAGGGGCAGCAAGATCTTAGTTGAGGTAGACATGAGGAGGCGACAGGGGCTCCCTGGACCCAGGAGGGGGCAGTTTCCAGACGCGGGAGCCCAGGCTGTTTCTCCGGAAGCCGCCAAGGGGACCTCCCCTCGCCTTCACCTGGGCAATAGCTGGCGCCCTCTGGCGGTAACAATGTGGACTGAGGGGTCCCACCTCAGCCGGGCCGCAAATGTTACCTAGGGAAGCTGAGCCTGGCACCCTGGGGAGCCCGTTCTGGGCCAAGTGCATGGGATCAAGGACCTCTGGGGCCGTTTGGGGTTACTGAGCTTTAGATCTAATCCCCAGCAAGTTTCCTTGGCCCAGAGCCAACCAGAACAAAGTCAGGTGGAACAGAAACCCCTAGAGAAATGGCAGGAGAGAGGAAGAGCAAGAAAAAATGCAGGAACGGTACAGGCCAAGGAGCTCAGATCTGAGGTGAGTCCTGGCTTTGCTTCTCGCTTGCTGTGTGGCCTGAGGTGAGTTACCTGGCCTCTCTGAGCCTTGGTCCCTCCATCTCTCAAAGGGAATAAATTGTGACCTCACCTGATTGTTGGAAGAATCCAGCATCATCTCAGATGGAAGGTAATTGAAGCCTCCTTCAATGCTGGTTTCCCTCTGAAGCAGGGGTCCCCTCTTGAGCACCCCAAGGAGGGCTAGAAACCCCTTCAACTGCTCTGTGAGGCAGCCCACGCTCTGTGGACCAGCTGAAGGCCATTTCCACCCAGGGCTCCTGGGTCTGACCTCTGGAACCAAAAGCTTTCTCTGTGACATTGACATTTGACGTTTGACATCCTCCCTTGAGACTTGGCAGTGGCTCCAGATTCTTGCCTTCATCTCTGCAATCCACTGTGCACACCCAACTGGATACAGATTCTTAAACTCTGCTTTGATCATATCCCAATAATGTCCTGCTAAATAATGCCCCATGGTTCCCTATTGCCTTCCGGGCAAAGTTGGAACTTCTCCTCCTTTCTCAGCCCAGTACTCAAGGGTTTTCTAGCCTGTTTCTGATCCAGCCAAATGGGCCTGCTCTCCATCTGCTGAGCCTTAC